TAATAGACACACACACACACACACACACTACTACAACTATATTAGGAGAAATTACTCTCCAATTTGAATTGGTAGTTTTTTTATTTTTTGTCATTTTTGTTTTTTTTATTGTAAAATAATTTTAAACTCTAATTTGAATGAGTAGAATATTTTTTGTATATCGTTTTTTATTGATAATTATAAGATATCTATATTTATTAATTCAAGTAGTGTAACCAATTAATTCAAAATCTAAAATTCAAAAAAAAAGTTAGTTAGAAAAGTAGTTTATTTTGTCTTAATAATGCCACATGGCTTTTTGTGATTAAGATATTTGTTTTAATTTGGTGTTTTTGCTTCTCCTATTCTATATAGATAGAAGATATGTGGTGGTTCGAAAATGCAATATCAAATAAGTGAATGGAAAGACTTATATAATATTAGTATTGTTTCCGAGGCCTCAACAAAATATAAACTAGTTTTATGCTCTTATATCATTTTATGTTTTCGTATGGTTGCAATCTGGTTATGTTGTTGAATCTGAAACATTAACATTTAACAGGATAAGATGTTACCCTTTAAGACAAATTAAAGGGTCTCGTTCACCATGTTTAATGCTTTCATTTTGTACTCAATTGTTCTATTAAATGATTCCAAAATATGGTTAAATATAGATCAAGCAAAGATTTACGTGATTTTAATATATATATATATATATATAATATATATATATATATATATATTATATTTAAAACAATGGAGATTCAGTATTGAGACTGAAGAAATTACAAAAATTAAACATGAAACAGGTATAAACTGTAAAATTAAGATAAATCGATAAGTTTATGCTAGATGGTTAAACTAATTTCACACCGGGTGAAGTTCTGAAACAGTTTTTCATTTGGTAGATATCTCAGCATTGTTTGGCTGATTTTGTCAACTGTCAATTTGTTCAACCAATCCCTTGAGGGTGAAATCGAAAAAATACCAGATTTACATGTGGTAACTGAAAAATAGCCATAGATTGAAAAGTAATCGAAATTTAGTTACTTTTCATGTAAAGATAATTTTGAAATAAAACACTATTCAAAATTCGGAAAATATTCCAGCATATATATTGGAGCTCGAAATTTTCTTCTATGAACTTCCAGCATAATATACTGGAGTTCTAGCATACAGGGGCGGATTTACCACGACACCGCTTCGCCAAATTTTTTATTAAATATATATATAATTGATACTATGCAAAATAAACAATTAGATACAAATAAAATAAAATGACACGATTCATCAGAGTGGGTTAGTTGGTTTGATGGTTTAGCGCCGATAATCTATGCAAATGGTCTGTGGTTCGATTCCGAGCAACTGCATTCCGAACGTTTTACACTTTGAGCAATAGAAATAGTAGTCCTTTTTATTCAAAAGCTGTAGCATTCCGATTTTGTATAGGACAAAGAGAAATTAAACTCTCCTTTTTTTCCAAAAACTGTAACGATTCCGATTTTCTAACCAAAAACAGTAACAATTTTGATTTTGTATAGGACAAACTACAAAGAGAAACTAAACTCTCTCGTTCTCCCCCTTTTGAGTAGGAAAGGATAATTATAAACAATATAAAATCCATTGGATTTTACTTATTTCATACCCTAATTTTAAAAAGCCTATTCAATATTAGTTGATGAATCTCGCGATGTATCATGTAAGGAGCAAATGGCTATTGTTTGCGTTATGTTGATTAGGAGGGGAAGTGCGATGGAGCGCTTTATGGGCATTGTTCATGTTCGTGATACTACTGCTTTGTCGCTAAGGAATGAAATTGTAAGTTTACTTACTAAACATTCTTTAAGTCCATCTTATTACATGGACAATGCTACGATGGAGCAAGCAATATGCAAGGTGATTTAAATGTCTTAAGATCTTAATGCAAAAAGAAAGTAGAGGTGCTCATTCTATTCATTGTTTTGCTCATCAACTTCAATTAACTCTTGTTGCGGTTTCTAGAAGATGTAATGAAGTGCAAGAACTCTTATTGTTGGTTTCTGATATATTGAATATGGTGGGAGCTTTCTTTCAAGCGTAGAGATGAACTTCGTGAATCTCAAGCAGAAGAATAGAAGAGGCATTACGTAAAGGTGAGCTTGAAACTGGTAAGGGCTTGAATCAAGAATTGGGTCTTGCTAGAGCTGGTGATACACGATGGGGTTCTCATTACAAATCCTTTAATAATTTTATCCTTATGTTTGGCCTATTATTGATGTGCTTGATGCTATTGCTGTTAATGCACGTTTTGAAGAAAAAATGTAAGGCAAAGGGATATCTTAAAGCATGTTTAACATTTGAAATTGTCTTCATGTTATATTTAATGCGTACTATTTTAGCAATCACAAAATGAGCTTAGTGCAGCCTTTCAAAAGAAGGAGCAAGATATTGTAAATGCTATGTTACTTGTTGGAGTGGCAAAGGATCAATTGCAAGAACTGCGAAAGAAAGGTTGGGATTCACTTATTAATGAGGTATCTAAATTCTGTATGAAATATGATATTTCAATACCTGAATTTGACGAGCTCTATGTTATCCCTGGAAGATCACGTCGTAGGGTTGCTGAGTATACTGTTTCACATCACTACGCGTGTAAGGTATTTTATAGAATTATTGATTGGCAATTTCAAGAACTCAATAGTCGCTTTGATGAGGTGACAACGGATTTGCTTCTTGGAGTTGCTTGCTTGAACCCAGCTGACTCTTTTTCCAATTTTGACATTGAAAAGATATTGAGATTAGCTGAGTTATATCCTGATGATTTTGATAAATATTCTATGGTCGACCTTCGATTTCAGCTTCAGAATTACATTGTTGATGTCCGAGATCATGATAAAAGGTTTTTCAGATCTTAGGGACTTGGTAATCTTTCCACGAAATTAGTAGAGACAAAGAAGCATGGGACTTATCCTCTTATTTTTCAACTTGTAAAATTTGCTTTACTTTTGCCAGTTGTACTGCTACAGTTGAGAAGAGCTTTTTCGGCAATGAAGTTGATTAAGACTGATTTGCGGAGTCGAATGGATGATGAGTTTTTGAGTAGTTGTTTGGTGCCTTATTATGAAAAGGATGTATTTAGTCTTATTCCTAATGAGGCTATTATGAATACCTTCCAAAATATGAAAACTCGTCGAGGAGAGCTGTAGTAAGGTACTTTTTTTAATATGATATTGTTACTATATTTGTTTTTTATCTATTTCTTTAAATGTCGACACCCGCTTACGGAAAATCCTGCGTACGCCCCTGCTAGCATAATATACTAGAGTTCCAATATAATATGTTGGAGAAGTTCATACACAGGTGCTCCAATCTCCAGTATATTATGTCGAAACTTTCTGTGTGCCGGAGTTCCAGCATAATATGTGGAAGTTCATACACAGGTGCTCCAATCTCCACTATATTATGTTGGAACTTTCCGTGTTGCAGCAAAATAGTGACTATTTTTAATAATTTTGGCAAACACTGACTATTTTTCAATTACCAGTCCGAAAAACTAGTTAGCTCGTGCTATGGAATTTTTACCTCCTATAGCAAAGGTTAACACCTTATTTATTTTAATTAAATACCATTTAAAAAAAATTATATTTATAGATACCTTTTAAGATTTATAGCAAAATATTTAATTTTGGTTACCTCCTAGCCATAAGCCACTAAATACGCTAATCAGTTACACTATTTTCTTTCTCTCTCTACTTTGATACATCCCATTCTCTTCCCCCATCCCATCAAAATTTCCGATCTCCTTGAAATTTCCTCAACATATTCACCTATCCTTTTCTCATTACAGTCTCCAGAGTCAATTTCAAGTTCAATCTGGACTTCAGAAGCATCTGGTATAATATAACATATCATGATTATTTTCGTACAATATTTTTTTGGTACTCTTAATGTGAAAAACATACTATAGGTAATGATTATGTTATGACGTTGAGGACGGAATTGACTGGGTCAGTAGGGGAAGCAGTCTGTCACGACCGGATTTCCCACCCTCGGAAGTCGTAATGGCGCATACTCGTAGAAACGTAATACCCAAGAATGATACGAAAAGCCAACATGTGTCTCTACCCAGAAACCGGTGTCACAACATTCACTGACTGTCTATGATTACTACATACAAATATCTGAAAGAAAGGAACTCAGTCTGTCTCGATACAAATGATAACAGACCCGAAATAGTAGATAGAAGAGACGCCGGGCCTGCGGACGCCTGCAGGACTACCTCGGGATCTCTGGACTGAAGGCTGGCTCCCAAGCTACTGCTGCTGTCCCAGTACTGCTCCGGTACCTGCACAGAGTGCAGAATGTAGCATCAGCACAACTGGCCCCATGTGCTGGTAAGTCCTGGCTAACCCGGCGAGGTAGTGACGAGGCTAGGACCAGATTCCAGATAAACCTGTGCAGTTTATTTATATATATACAGCGGGAAAATAAACTAGAACAAACAATTAAAGCTGGAAGGGGAAACATGCTTCGGGAATAACGGATAAAACAGAACCTCAAGAGAATTATCAAGAAACCAAAATTTAACTTCTAACAAGAATAAAGAAAACAAAATGCAGATTTCACTCTTGGTTCACATCTTGTTGCTGGCGTGCAACCGATCCCATTTCTCATATCTTGTGGTAGCGTACACCCGCTCCCACTTCATCAAATCTCGTGGTAGGCGTACCAACCATCCATTTCATCAAATCTCGTGGTAGGCGTACCACCCGATCCCTTTTCATGAAATCTCGTGGTAGGCGTACCACCCGATCCCATTTCATCAAATCTCTCGTGGTAGGCGTACCACCCGATCCCATTTTATTATCTCTGGTGGTAGGTGTACACCCGATCCCATACATATCTCTTGTGGTAGGCGTACCACCGATCCCATTACATTATCTCTTGTGGTAGGCGTACCACCCGATCCATTCACAAGCCAACACAAAAATCCAAGTAGTCCCGGCAAGGGAAACAAAGCAATATAATAACTTCCGGCAAGGAAACAACAATATCAAGTCAAACATCCCGGCAAGGGAGAATTAGCTATTACCAATCTTAGATTCAATTTCTACTCACCTCAGCTAACACCAAATACCCAGCCATAAGTATTTCCACGAAACAAACTCAATTCTTACTCAAGATCGAGAACCATCAATTTAAAGCATCCGTAGTTCATTAAAAGAATATAACAATTTGCAATTTTAAGACTCACAGTCATGCTCGACACCAACGTATAGATACTCGTCACCAATGCCTATACATCGTACTCAACAAGAAACAAATAGCAAATAGGACTCAACTCCTAACCCTCAAGCTAAGGTTAGACCGGACACTTACCTCAAACTTCCACGGCCAACTCAGCTTCAAACACCGCTTTCCTATCGAATTCGGGTCCAAATCGATCGTACCTATACATAACCGACTTCATAACATCAATAAACGCTAAACAATTCAATTCCAATGCCAAATTATAGCTTTCTAATCATTCTTCCAAATACCGAAAAATCGACCCGGGACCGCTTGGTCAAAACACGAGGTTCGGACCAAAACAAAATCATCACCCATTCACCGACAGAGCCCAAATATATAATTATTTCCAGAATTCGCCCCAAAACGAGGTCTAAATCACAATTAATCAAAAGCCCTAATCTACCCAAATCCCCTAATTTCTACCATTAATCTCATGTTTTAGGCCTAGAAATCTAGTGGGTGTTGATAAAAATGGAAGAAATCAAGTTAAAGATCTAACTTTACCCCAAGAGATTATGGTGAAGAAATGCTTCAAAAAATCATCCTAGAGCTTTGGAGAAGAAGGGGTTTTATGAAATTTTTATAAAATCCGAAGGCTACTATTCTGGACCTTTTTTAAAATAACTGGCCCGAATATGTCCCTTCGCGTTCGCGACAGACCCTCGCGTTCGCGATGGTCAGCTGGATTAAGCCTTCGGCGTTGTTGTAAACGGGCTCCTGTGTTCGCAGAGAATGATCCCTCGAGCCCTGCCGATTCGGGTTCCAATGGGTCGTGTTCAGCGAGGGTAATTGCTCCACCCCCCTGCCCAGGCCCACTTGGCCTTCGTGTTTCGCGTGGCCCAGGACCGCGTTCGCGAAGGTATAGCCCCCAAACTTGCCTCGCGTTTCGCAGACCTGAGCTACACGTTCGCGTAAAAGGATTTTCCTTCGACAAAGTTTAATGCATCGCCGTTCGCGTGTGGGTTCTCCGCGAGGGGGGGGGGGGGGTACGCGAAAGAAGAAAATATCAGTAACCCAGATCAGCTGTTTCTTGCAATTTTTCTTAAAGTCCAAAACTTCCCGAAACACATCCGAAACACACCCGAGCCCTCGGGCTCCTACCAAACATACGTAATCAACTCACTGACATCATACGAACTTATCCGTGCGATTCAAATCGCCAAAAATAACCTCAATAACAATGAAATTAATCCTCAAAATCAAAGAATTTTTTCTCAAACTCATCAGTATCAACTTTAGCAATTTAGGTCGAATCAGTCAAATGATATCCGCTTTGTCACCAAATTTCACAAAAACATCTTTAAATCATATATAAGACCTGTAACCGGGCGCCGGAACAAAAATATGGAGCCTGAATACTAACATGTTTTAATCAAATTATTTCATATCAAAATTTCCTCTAAATAATTTCAGAAAACAATTTCCTTGGAAAATTCATTTCTCCGGCTTGGGACCTTCGGAATTCGATTCCGGGCATACGCCCAAGTCCCGTATTCCTAGGACCTTTCCGAGACCGTCGAATCATTGGTCCTGGGTCCCGTTTAACCCAAAAACGTTGGCCGAATGTTCAAATAATTCATTTATTAGCCCAAAATTTCATCATTTTTTCACTGATTTTTAATATTTAAGCTTTCCGCTACGAGCCCGATCTGCGCACGAGCAAATCGAGGTGAAAGAAAAAAGAGTTTTCAAGGCACTTGGAAACACAGAATATAATTTAAAAGCAAGTGATGACCTTTTGGGTCATCACATTCTCCACCTCTAAAACAAACCGTTCGTCTCGAACGGACAGAAGAAAGAAAGTTACTTGAGTCGGGGGGAAAAAGATGGGGGAATAACGGATCCGCAAAATCGGACTCGGACTCCAGGTCGATGCCTCAGCAGGCTTTGACCTCCCCACTGAAACATGGAAGAAGGAAAACTCTTCGACCTCAAACTGACGAACCTGCCGGTCTAGAATAGCCACCGCTCCTCCTCGTAAGACAAGTCCTTGTCCAATTGGACAGTGTTGTAATCTAACACGCGGATGATCGTCGTATACTCCGAAGCATGGACACATGAAACACTGGAATGCCACGACTGATAAGCTCGGTGGAATGCAAGTCTATAAAGCCACATCTCCACTCGATCAAGAATCTTCAAACGAACCAATGTACCTAGGGCTAAGCTTTTCCCTTCTACCCAAATCTATCACGCCCTATCATAGGCGACACTCGAAACCAATACCCGCTCACCGACATGAAGCCAAATCTCGAACCTTGCTGGTGCGCATAGCTCTTTTTTCCTGGACTGAGCTGAACGAAGCCTATCCTGAAATGATCCTGACCCTTGTCCAAGGAATCCTGAACCAGATCCGTACCCAACAACTGAGCCTCCCCCGGCTCAAACCAATCCAACCGGAGACCGACACGCCTACCATATAAGGCCTCATAAGGAGCCATATAATGATACTCGACTGGTAGCTGTTGTTGTAGGCGAACTCCGCTAAAGGCAAAAACTGATCCCACGACCTCCAAAGTCATAACACAACTCAGAGCATATCTCTAAAATCTTAAATAGTCCGCTCGGACTGCCCGTCCATCTCGGGATTGAAATGTTGTGCTCAACTCAACCCGTCTTCTCCAACTCTCGCTGAAACTGCCTCTAGAAGCGCGAGGTTAAACTTGCGTACTCGAAATCCGAAATGATAGACACGGGCACACCATGAAGGCGAAACAATCTCTCGGCATAATAAATCTCAGCTAAGCCCTTAGAAGAATAAGTGACTGC